TGGAAGGAAAATCTGTATAAGATTTTTTCATTTATATAAGTTGTCTCCTTCCACAAATCTTGCTTTTGAGAGTCATTTTGGTAGATTTTATATGAATATTATTAAATAGAATGTATTAATAATGTTGGTAAAATGTAAGTTGAGCCATTAAAAGAAAATTAAAATTGTAACCATAAGTAAAAATTGGAAGACCAAATCTTTGAAAGCTTGAGGCGAGTCAAGTATACTATCTTTGACTATAATTCACATGTATCTCCCAAAATTCAATAAATTTTTCTAGTAGCAAATTAGGAGTCAGAATCTAATAAATTAAAAATTAATAAAATAAAACCACAGAATAATTGTAAGGGAGAAAAGTTTGTTTGCATCTTTCATTCAACTTCCAAAAGGGAAAAAAATTAGATTAGATAGAGAATAATCATCTCTTGAAATAGCTCCAATGGTAAAGAAGGTTTGTTACCAATGCAATTATAGTAAATGTGTATGAATGATAAAGAATAGTTAATGACTCATGAATAAAAATGATTATGACTTATTAATGTGTAACGACCCTTTTTGTTCGTCATGGGTGGACTAAAAATGAAAGAATTGGGTAAAAAAAATAGATAGTGACTTGAACATTCTAGGTTAGGTCAATCTCAGACTGAATATGAGCGAGATGAGATTTCGGACAATTCGGAAATGGACGGGGTGGTATGTCTAAATTTGGATCGTAATTTCTTGTACCTAAGACATTAAGGAATTCATAAGGCCTTTCGAAATTGAATTTGGATGAGTAAAACTTTTGGTATCGGATTTGACGTGAAGAGGTTAGTATAGAACGTCAAAGTTCGAAGGTATGTTGCAAAATAGGGGCTTTGGGAAAGACTAGCGAGTCTTTATCTCCTTGTAAGCCGCTATAGCGGGATGAAATGATTCCTGCTATAGCAAAATGAATTAATTCCCTCTATAGCGGGGTTAGTCGGAGTTTTGTGTAGAAAAGTCCCAAAAACCTCTTATTTTCTATAACTTCATTTTTGGAACTGGGAATGGCGACTTAGGGCAGATCCCTTGGATTTTTCCACCAATCTCTTCGGTAAAGGTAACTTAATTACTTCCCCAACTTATATTTTGATTCTTAAGCCTTAAAATCTAGAGTGCTACTCTTGGAAAGGGTTTTAATTTGAATTAATGGTAAAAAGGACCCTTATTGGGTAGAATGATCATAGGGATGGTATGGGGGTTAGGATTTGGTTACAATCAGGGTTTAACTAGGTCATTGTTAATTGATTATTGTATTTTATTATTGTTTTAGACCAAAAAATTCAAAATTCATAACCAGGGAAAAACTCATGTTCTTTAGAGCAATCAGGTTTGTTTCGAGGTAGGTGATGAGTGTTGTTATCATGTTTATGTTATATGTGTTTGTTAAGTGCATCATTAGTAATGCATATGAGATATGATTAGGAAAATTGGAAAGATATAATGTGAAATGAAAGATCTTATGAATCGCATGCAATGAATATGTTACATGAATGTACATGTGTGATTGTGATTCATTGTGGTTATGATTGTGTTGTGTGTTGATGATTGAGATCGAGTACCATAGCGATACACTAACATCTAAAATGGATATCACGTCGGAACACTAACATCTGGAATGGATACCACGTGGTACACTAACATTGAAATAAATGCTACGCTGATATAATGGGAACGAGTACCACACCAATAGACTAACTATGGGAACAGGTACCACGTCGAGAAATTAAAAGTTTGTATATGTGGGTTGCATGAGAGAACTGCACTGCTTGTTACATTTTGATGATTCATGATGTTATGTATATCAATTCAGGGACTGAGAGTCCTGTTATGTTGTACTTATGTTGTAATTATATGTTATGTGTTTATTGGGTTGTGGTTGTGGTTGCCTGTTCATATTTCAAATACTAGAATTAACTCATAATCCTATCGGTACACTGTGATTGTGTACTGATATTGCACTTGCTCTTACTTATTGAGTAATGGATATATTCATGCGGCTTTGCAATCTCAACTGTGAGACATCCGCTATTCGAATCTAAGGGTGAGCAATTTCCTCTGACTGCTATTGATTTCTTGTAATTTCTTAGTCCATTTGTTTGAGCTCGGATATTCTAGACTTATGTTTTCTTCTTTTATATTGGGGTTTCACCCTGTAACACCCTAAAAGATTCTAAACTCATATAAGACCTTGGAGATCAGAAAGAACTAAAATGTTGCAAAAAATAAGGATTTGTACGGACCCAATTACAGATCGTGAAAGGAATCAAGGGTCGTGAAGGGCTTTATAAACTGGAACTCATAAATTGGAATTTTTTTAGGTTTCAAGTTTACGGACCGTAAAATCTTTCACGGATCGTGCACTGGTCCTAAAAACAAACCCTAGAAATAAAAAATATTGTCCTTCACGAGGACTTGTCTGGCTCGTGGAGTGTTATGCAGCCTGTAGAGGATCCCGTAAAAATTGGCCCTCAGAATTCAGAACCCCTGCCCGTTCACGATCACCTTCACTGACCGTGAAGGGTTGTACGGTCCGTGGAAGGCTTTGGTATTTTTTTCACTCTTTTAAATCCTATATTGTGTCGTTTTGACCTAATTTAAGTGAGTATTACTGATTCCTGAAGACTCTAGCCTCCCATTCTCTCTTAATTCTTCCAAATCAAAGTTTCTTCTCTCTCAAGTCTTCTTCCTCAAGCAAGTTAGGGTTCCAAGATTTCAAGCTTCCGTTGAGGAATCAAGCTAGGATTTCATTCAAGGTATATGGGAACTTCATCAATAGGTCTCTCTTCACCTATCGAGTCCCATAGAAATCTCTATTTCTTCAAGCTATGATTTTAATTTCTCAAAACTATGGTTTATATGATCTTCTTGAGTTCTTTTGAATTTCAATTTCTTCTTCAAGATTGATCTTAAATTGCATGAATTGATTATAATTTCATGTTTTCAATGATGTTTTCATGAATCCATTAACATGCAAGTATTTTTCATGATTATAATTATGTTATTTTCATATTCATGTCTCAGATCATTAGATTTTCATGAATCATAATGCTTTCAAATAAAGTATCCCTTAGTACACACAAATATCATGATTTAGATATTTTCGAATAAAGTATCTTTCATATTACGTTCAGTTATCATGATTTATGAGCTACTCAGTATGTTATCAGATTATCAGTATGATTTAATAGTAAAAATTATTACTTTTTTCAGATCTATCATATTTTTATTGGGAGTATACTTAGCACTGAGTGGACTTTTGCAATGATGATTTCTGTGTAGCGTTTTTGGACCTTTAGTAGCAATCTCTAAGCCCCCTAACTACGTGTCACAAATAGTATTTATCTCGAATAGATATTAGCTAGTAGATCCACCTTAGCTCAAATACCATGGTCCTTTCCTTGGCAAGTTAGACACTCTTTTTTCAGTGTGAAAGCAGTTGATGGACTCAATGTAGTAACTCACATGGTTTATGTCGGTTTTAGTATGTCCCACAGTCAGATTTTCAAATATTTCATTGATCATGTATTTCATATATATTAGTTCAATTTTACTTAGTTTTCATGATTATACACTTGATCATTGCATTAACATGTTTTACAGGCTTATCATATTCGGATATCATATTTTATACATTTCCTCATACTTGGTACATTTGTAGTACTGACCGCATACTTTCTGCCTATATTATTTGATAATATAGATTTTGACGCTTATTATCCAACCCGCGGTAAGTACTATCTCTGATCAACTAGCAGTAGTGTTGTGAGTCCTCATCTTCTCAAGGATACCACTTGTGATTTCCTTTCGCTCATAACTTTCAGTTTTCAGACATGTTAGAGTTAGTTAGGCGTTTATCTTAACAACTCATGTTAGTAGAGACTTTCAGACAAACAATCATATTCCGCCATGTTATGCTGTCCTTCAGATTTTGTCTATATTGAGATTATAGGTTCTATCCAGATATTAATTTGGTTTTAGCTTCCGCATGTGTATTTTAGTTTTCGGTTGATTTTGTTAATCTCAGTGTCATGTCATGCCATGAGATTAGTTAGCTTGTGGCTCTAAGCACCGTGACGCGTGTCTAGGGGCAGCCTTGGGTCGTGACACATCCCCTATTGTAGGCTTGTTAGATGTTTTGGTACAACGACTTGTAGATTCTAGGGAGGTTAATTTCCGCAACTGTTTGTTGATTGGATGAGTTTATGGGAACTCGATCTTCTAATTGTTTAAATGATTTTCATAGTGTTTAATATAATGACTTATTTCTTTAAAATGGCTTGATTTTTAAGTTTTGGGTTTTGTAGTTGGTTCTCCCATTGGAGGGTTAAGTGTGGGTGCCACTCACGGCGGGTCAGTATCGTGACATAATGATTGGTTTCCATTGTCAGAATTGTTAATTAGTATTAGAAGAGATATTATTCAAAATATAACTAACCCATCACTAGGAAATTAAGGGATCGGGACAAAACTAGACAACAATTTGAATATTTCTTCCTCTTTTTGAGGCATGACATGAATTTTTCCAGCACTAATATCTTAGAAAGGATCTCTACACTAACAGCACATATAAATTAAATCCCTATGTTAAAGTAGCTAATCATAGTGCTTAATTTTTGTAAAACTTATTTCTTTATGTAAATGCAGTAGTACAAGATATATATTACACGTAAAGTTGCAATATCGCTGCCTCAAAACTCAACCAACATTTATTTTCTTCATTGAAATCTAAATCAAATAAAAATAAAAATGTGAAAGTTCACCCTAGTTTTGAATACAAATTTTTCCTTTTAAATTGGATAGGGCAAGGAAAATTGGAAATGAGGATTACAAGGTGAGAAATTGAACTTTCATGAACAAGATAATAATTCAGATAGTCAACTAACTGACCTACTAAGATTCCCCTAGTTTTTGAATAAATAACTAAGCGTTGACCGTATAAAAATCTTTCAGTATATATATAATTTAAATCCTAAAAGAAATTAAACATAGCCTTGATTTAGCAGGGCATTGGCATGGTCTTGTATAACTTTCCAAGCTACGTCAACATGCCTATAATGTGTAAGAGAAGCACCAATTGCAAATCTAATAATATAAGTGCCTCCAACAACTCCATGAGTCAAATAGAGTTTGCCACATGAATTAATAGACTCCACCAACTTAGTGTTAAACATGTTCACTTCTTTCTCATCATCAAATTTGGTTGAAACTTGACTTAGTACTAATGGGGAGATCCTAAAACACACCATAGCAAACTTTCTAGGCACAAAGATTTCAAACCTTTTGTCCGTAGCTATAAGTCCTTCAAAATGTTTAGCCATGTTCACATGACTTCTTATCAAGTTTCTAAGATTAGTTACCCCATAACTTCTCAAAACTAACCATAACTTCAATGCTCTAAACCTTCTACTCAATGCAATTTGCCAATCCTTATAATCAATCACTTGATTTAACTCTGTAGCCTTGTTTCTCAAACATTCAGGATTAGTTGATAACGCGTTTGTAAGTGCACTTGGATCCTTAACCCAAAGGCAACAACAATCCAAAGTGGAAAAGAACCATTTGTGCGCGTTGAGACTAAAAGAATTTGCATTTTCAACACCATCAAGAAAGACCTGAAATTCAGGGCAAATACAAGCACTTCCTGCATAAGCTGCATCAATATGTACCCAAATCCCAAATTCCTTAGCAATTTCACAGAGTAAACGCAATGGATCAACAGAAGTTGTTGAAGTTGTCCCAATTGTCGCGCACAAGAATAAAGGAACATTTCCTTCTTTAAGGTCATTCAAAATTGCTAAACGTAGCGATTTTGGACACAAGGTGTACTCACTAGCCTTTATTGTTGGGATAACTCGGAAATTTCCAGGGTCTATCCCAGCAATGTGGGCAGCCTTCTTAAGTGAAAAATGTGTTTGATCAGATGCATATACCACCAATTTGCCAAAATTCTCTCTACTTATTTTTCGCAACATTTGATCTCTAGCCGCGACTATAGTACACAACATGGCTTCACAAGTTGTACCTTGTAGTACACCTCCACCACCACTCGCGAACAAAAAACAATTGGGAAGATTTAACATTTTCCCAAACCAATCCATCACAATACTCTCAAGTTCAGTAGCAGCAGGGGATGATATCCAATTAAACCCTACCACATTAAATCCAACACTTAACATTTCACCTAGGAATCCAGCAGTACTTCCTGAAGATGGAAAATACGCGAAAAAATTAGGACTTTGCCAATGTGTTAGCCCTGGAATAATAGCCCTTTCAACATCCTTAAGAATTTTATCGAGTGACTCAGGGTTATTAGGTGCGGAATTTGGTACAATTTTTTGGAGATACCCTGGATTTACTTGACTACAAACAGGATATTGTTCAATATTTTGATAGTAATCAGCTAGGAAATTCACAATTTTATGACCTTGCCTTCTAAATTCTTCAGGGTCTAAAGGGTTTATGGTATTGAAAATTTGGTCATCAAGTTCATGGTTGATGTTGAGGGTACCCATTATTTCAATTTGTGTGTATGTTGTCTTGAAAGAAAAATAAATGGTTAGCTTTTATAAGGTTAAAAAGGAACTAAATTATTGTGGCATAAATATAGTAGATGTATGTGGGCTATAGTTAGTTAGGACTATAGAAATAATTACACTTTGTTGGATGGTTATTACGTATTGTTTTATAATGTGTTGTGTTGTGTTGTATTGTATCGTACTGTATTATTTTAATGAATATAGTGTTTGGATAAGTTGTATCGTTCTCCGTCGTTATATAATGTCACATAATCATGATTTGAATGATAAACCTACAAGAAAAGTAGGGTACGGGATAAAGATACTATGAAAGGTAGGGTAAAAGATGAAATACAATTATTAAATAATAATAAAGATAAAATGAGAAGAAAATATTAAGGTACGGTGCGATCACACCACCAAATCAATCATTTCATAAAATGAGTCTTTTCATCGCTACCTAACAATGAATTTAAACGATACGATACAATAATATTTAGTAACAATTAAAATAAATATTATATTTAAATTAATAATACAATACAATATAACGGGTAACGCCAATATATCCAAACAAGGTGTTAGACACTAGTTAGTACACGTCCGAAAATTAAAAACACCAGGCCACCTAAGTTGAAGAATTAATTTTTTTTTAAGTACGTGTCAATGGTGCTAAGAATTTGATGGTCACCTACTAACTACTTAAGTCACCTTAATTATGATGATGTTACATATTGTTTTTTTCAATAAATAATATTGATGTTGATTAGAAGGAGAAATGGTAAAAAGAGATTATAGAAATTGAGCGAAGTTAAAGATAGTCAATTAATTGACCAATTAAGATTCTTCAAATTAATATGAAAATTAAATTAAGTTCAGATAGTCAATTAATTGATCAGTCAAGATTTTTTTAATTAGTACAAAATATTTAAAAGAATTTTTGATACGCTACGGAATACCTGTAAATTTTTTCTATAGGATCATGACGATTTTATGACTTTAAAAACATATAATTAAAGGTAAAAGTAAAAAAATTGAGATTAACTACATTTATATGTTTAAAGGTGACTAATCTTTTCTCGAAGAAACAGAAAAGGAAACGAGGGTTGTATAAAATGTATTGTCTCAGTTTCATCTTATGTGATGATATGTGATTATAAACATGGACTTTAAGAAAAAGAAAAAAACTTTTGAAATTTATAATTTAAAATAAATTGTTTATATTTGTACATCTATAAATCATCTTATTATCGATAGGCGATAGGGGTAGGCGTTCAATTATATCAAATTTCGGTTCAGTTCGGTTCTTCAATTTTTGGTTTTAAAAAAGTGTGTGCCGTATACCAAACTAAACTAATTTGGTTTTTTCTACTTCGGTTCAGTTTGATTCGGTATTTTTAAAACAATTTTAAAGATTTAAAACTATCTTAAGGGGTAATGTATCTCATCGTGGAACACTTATTGTGTTAATTGAAAGACTATATTTGTCTTTGTCAAGAACATTGTCCCTCCAACTACTTCTCGAGAAAAACAAAGACGAAGACGGGTTCCTTTACATGATAAACATCGACAAAAATATGTTTGGGTTCCTCTTGTGAATTAAACTTTGAAGCTAACTATTGAATTGTAAATTTGTTGCTACTTTGATTTGTTAATGAATGATTTAATTGTTAGTTGATTTTTTATTTTAGTGAAGAAAATGCTCATAAATAAATATTATATATATATATATTTGATTTTTTAAAATAAAAGTTCAGTTATTCAGTGCATCGAACAAAAGAATCGAACTTTTACAAAAATAATATCGATATTGAATTGAAAAACCGAAGAATTAAAATCGAAAAATCAAATTAGTTCAGTTCGATTTGATTTTTCGATATTTATGTCCACCCCTAATTACGGATGGAATGAAAAGAGAACTTTAAATTGTTTTCTTCTTAACATAAGAGTACATCGCGATGTTGAAAAGAGCAAATCCAATAAATGCTAAGGTGATTGGAGCCAACGTGTTATAACCATTACCACTATTTTGGAAACTTTTTCTTGTATAAATGATAATCAATTATAACCATCAATTTTTATGCAAAAAATAAATAACTATATTTTACTTGAGCACAGTATAAATCTTTAATAAAGGCAATTTTGAGGGAGATGTTTTTCATATATATAAATAATAAGATTCATAATTATATATATAAAAACACGTGTTTGCCTCCCGCATTTTTTAATTAACTAATCTACTATATACATCTCACACGTCTCTCGTATTAATAAAAACAAACTTCAAAAAAAGAAGCATAAATAATATTTTAAAAATATGTTTGTGTACAAATATAAAAATTTACAAAGAAAAATTCAAATTTCAAATGCTAATGTTTAGGAGTATGATCCAATCCATTAGTTCATTCTATAAATCGTTCTAGCACTTGCTTCATCGAACAAAAGTGTCATAAAAATAACTTTTAGTTGAAAGATTGAAAAGTCGTTCGTTTTTATATAAACACTTAAATATATGTATTATATAAATTTCATTAAATTATTATAAATTTACTTATATTACTACACACACAGTACACACTATTAACGGATTAACATTTAATATAAATATTAGCATTATGAAGATGCATTGTAATATAAAGTTGTATAGTAGATTAGAAAACATTGTATAAGTTATTCCTTTTAAAAATTAGCACTTATGAAATTGTATTGTGATTTATTATTGGCTTGTGTTTTGGCATAAATAAATTGATATCATATCACAAATAACAAATGTATTATTAATTTATAATTGGTCATTAAGAAATTGGTGTGCCACCAAACTAAGAAGTCTCATAAAAATTAGTGGAAATGGACATTAATACTTGCACCAGGGTAGACTGTTTATATCACACTTTTTGGAGTGTGACCTTTCCCCGGACCCTATTAACACCGGATGTTTTGTACGCAGAGTTGCTCTTTTTCTAATTATATTTTTAAAAGTCCTTAACATAAGGTTGTTTTGCATTATAAATACAAATTACAATTTGATTAAACCTGTAGTTATTTCATAAAAGACAAAATATTAATTACTTTTAAATTTCTAAATATTAATTTTTTTATATATTTCAAATAAGGGGTAGTTAATTTTGATCTTTCACAATTTAATTAATGTTTGAACTTCTTCAATTTTAAATAATTTTAAATAATTATTTTAGAAATTTCAAAGTACTTTCAAAACCATTTTGAAATGAGATGAAAAAAAGTGGGGAGGTTTTTAGTCGTGCACTAGGTTAATAGAAGAGTAAGGGAAGTTTTGAATAGTTGAGAGGCGGTTTCGGATAAGGAAAGGACCAAACCACCCCTTAGAAAGTTATTCAAAAGTGCAGAAAAATCATGTCTGATGGTTCAGGAGACAAACCGTCAAATTCCTAACGAACCATCATCAAAATCGTTGTTAATGGACAAATTTCGGCCTCACTTATTAGGCCTGACAGTCTGATAGACGGGTCGTCACAAGTATGACGGTCCATCACCCTAGCCATCATACTTTGACAGATAGGCACTCTCTATAAACTAAGCATAACTTTTTACTCTAGCATTAGATTGTTGAATGGTTGGTGGCGTTGGAAATAAGATTCAAAGAGATTTAATATGATAGTTCATGGACCACCTCACTCTTCATATTTTAAGAGATATGTTCATTTTGAAGTTGAAGCAAGTAAAATCTTAAACGAAAACTCAATCGGTAAAGAAGCTTTCAAGTTAACTTTGAGCTAGAAGTTCTTATGACCTTAATTAATATTCAAAACTCTTCCCACAATAAGGAATTGTTTTCAATACCTATGCAACATTAGAAATCATCGAGTTCGAGGTCTATACGCATTTAAAGAACGGCCGAATCATAATTTGAAATTTGGGGTGTTACAGAATTCGTTGTAGCAAAAGTGTATTTCCTACCGCGAACAACGCGAGACATGTACATACGTTTTAAGTTAGTTTCTCCAAGTCTCTTCCCATAACTTAGAATATATCCATATCAAAAAATTCAAAAGACAAATTTTAAGGTATATTGCTATTTTCTTCTAAGAGGTAAGTCTCTCCGTTAATTATTTCATCTAGTAATTCGATTTTATCCTGAATAAAGTAATATTAAGGGAGAATTAGGACTTAGAAACCTAAAACTCGTGAATTTTGTGGGAAAACTTAAGGGTGGAAGTAAATAATATATATTTTAATTTTAAGTGAGTTAATTGTACTCTTTAGGATGAAATTTGTTGTTTTATTTCCTGTTCATGATGGTTGGAGAAATTTAGAACCCTGTAAAAGTGATTTAGTTGAGTATATAAACTCACGTGGAGTAGAAACTCTATGAACAAAGTTTATATATAATTAGACCTTGATAAGGGGTAGAATTAGATAGATTTGAATGTCCAAGGCCAATGTTTAAAGAGTAGATAATTAAATACTTTTATGTTTGTTTGTTTTAGACTTTGAGTATTCAGAGATTTTGAGAAAAAAGAAGGCTCTCATGAGATTTGGATTTGGAGGCAAGTATCAAAAGATTCTCCTATAATTTTGAAAGAAACAAGCCAAACGTTCACCAAACAAAGAAAATGAGTTAGTCCAATACATCAATGAGCTAATTTTTATTTTCTTAATTCCAAAAATAATTAGTGAGCTAATATTTATTTGAGCAACTTTCACATATAGCAAACAAAAAAATTATTTTTGTATGCTATAGCAAAGTTTGCATAATTGCGCTCCATAGCAAACATATATATGTATAATTTGCTATACATATACAATTGAAAGCTATGTCTATTTCGCTATACATATATACAAAAAGATGCAATTGTATAATTCGTTGGCTCCTTTTCAGATTTGTATAATTTTGTTGGCAGGCCATTTGTATAAATTGTTGTTAGCCTCTCGTTTGTATAAATCGTTGACAAAAATATTTGTATATCAAAAATCGCTCTCTCTTTCGCTTTATACAAACTTAAATTATACATTATACAAACATAAA